CAGGTCTGCATGACATCACTGGTGATATTAAGCTCCATCACTTGGGTGATGTGTTTGCCAGATTTCTCCACTGCACAGTCACTGCTTTTCCCTTTTCCCTACTGTCTTCTTTGGAAGTGGGTCACTAGGTCTAGCTTACCCTTGATGGCGAGTAGGTAGGGGTTAAGTACTACCTCTTGCCGTGAAGGCATCGGCATGTATTATCTAGAATTCTTTTGTAAGGAAGATTTGTCACTTCTTCCCTGTTTATTTGCTTGTTCAATTATTTGTTTACATCAGTATGGACTTGTGTATTTATTTTATACTTTGGGTTAATATTCCAGTACTGCATCATTTATTTATTCTGGTTTTGGCAATTGGGAGCTCTTTCAGGTTGGCTCCCATGTCCCTTTGGTGTGCCCCATCCTTTTGCTTTTTGTACACTTCCTCACTTTCTGGTTCTCCCACTAATTTTAGCATCCGTCGGTGGATGTTGCCTGTGACAGTTATTTCTGCAGTGTTCTAATGGTGGTTTTCTATTCCCCCTTCTCAGTTTAATCAAGATAAGCTAAAGATACTTAGGGTTTATTATTTTTTTCTTTTACACAGTCTTTGATTTTTCTTCCTAATTTCACAAATTGAATGTATTCCCCTAAAATATAAAGCTGTCAGAGAGACCTGGGCTTGAATTTCAGTTCTGACACTTCAGGCTATTTGACATTAGGCTTCCCTGAACCTTGATTCTCTTTGCATTTTCAGGGTGTAGATACTTACCTTAAAAGATTATCAGAAGATCTAAGTGAATTTTTGCATGTAAAGTTCTTAATATCAGGGAAGATGGATGTTATTATTCTTGCTTCCACTGGCACTGATGTTGCCTCCCCATGGCTTCCAGAGCCTGATTTCTAAAATGCAGATCTGATGATGACATGACCATGTTCAGGCTTGTCCATTGCTGCCTGTCATTGTCAGCAGTGGTTCCCAAGCCTAGCTTTTGATCAAAATTATATGAGGGGGCTTCCCTGGTGGCGCGGTGGTTGGGAGTCCACCTGCTGATGCAGGGGACGTGGGTTTGTGCTCCGGTCCTGGGGGATCCCACGTGCCGCGGAGCGGCTGGGCCCGTGAGCCATGGCCGCTGGGCCTGCGCGTCCAAGAGCCTGTGCTCCGCAACGGGAGAGGCTGCAGCGGTGAGGGGCCCGCGTACCGCAAAAAATAAAAAATTATATGAGGAACCTCAAAAGATATATAATAGCCCAGTCCTGCAGACTAGAATTTTGGTGGGGTGAGTTCAGCCCTTGTCTGTACTCCAGAGGGGTGAGACCTGAGTCCGAGGCTCCCTCTGAAGGCTGATCGTGGGTTCTCCCTCAGTGAGTGCTGACAGTGATCAAGAGAGGGGCCCTTCTCCCCACCATGAAATGGCCAGGTAGGACCAGAGCATGAGATTAGGAGTCAGACTAACAGTTCTTAGATAGTCCGCGTAGTATCTGTGTAACTAACTAATCTGTGTGATTAGTTAGCTGCCTTTTATATACGGAGTATGTTCTTGAAGACCGTTTAAAGTGTGCACAGATAAAACTACTTTGCTAGTAGGAACAAGTGGAATGATCGTTGTAAGAATTTTCTTCAGTGCTGCCTTTTACTCTTTTTTACCTTTAATTCTAATACTTTGCGGAGTGTTCTTTCTCTTTTGTTTTGATTCACTACAGAAATATATTATGAAAAGATTATCACAATAAGGTTAGTTAGCACCTCCATCACCTCACATAATTACCTTTTTCAGTGGGGATAACATTTAAGATCTACTCTCTTAACAACCTCCAAGAATATAATAGAGAATTGTTAATTACAGTCACCATACTGTAGATTAGATTCCTGGAACTTATTTATCTTATAGCTATCTTATAACTGGGAGTCTGTACCCTTAAACCAGCATCTCCTTAATTCCCCCACCCCCAGCCCCTGGCAACCATCATGCTACTCTGTTTCTATGATTTTGGTTTTTTAGCTTCCACATATAAGTGAGAACATACAGTATTTATCTTTCTGTGACTTATTTCACTTAATGTGATGCCCTCGAGGTCTTTGTATGTCATTGCAAATGGCACGATTTCCTTCTTTTTATGGATAATATTCTATTGTATACATGTACCACATTTTCTTTATACTTTCACTCTTTAATAGACATTTAGATTGTTTCCATGTCCTGGCTATTGTGAATAATGCTGCAGTGAACATGGGGGTGCAGATATCTTTTGAGACAGTGATTTAATTTCGTTCAGATATATACCCACAATGGGATTGCTGGGCCATATGGTAGTTCTATTTTTCATTTTTTGAGGAACCACCATACAGTTTTTTATAATATTTGTACCAATTTAACATTCCCACCAACAGTGCACAAGGGTCCCCTTTTCTCCACATCCTTGCCAACACGTGTTATTGCTTGTCTTTTTTGGTAATAGCCATTTGAACAGGTCTGAGGTGACATGTCGTGGTTTTGAGTTTCATTTCCTTGATGGTTAGTGACATCGAACGTCTTTTCATGTACCTGTTGGCCATTTGTATGTCATCTTTGGAAAAATGACTGTTCAGGCCCTTTGCCCATTTTTAAATTGGATTGTTTGTTTTTTTGCTATTGAAATGTGAGCTCCGTGTATATTGTGGATATTAACCCCTTGTCAGATTGATGGTTTGTGAATATTTTCTCTCATTCTATAGGTTGCCTTTTTTTTCTGGCGGGCCTCTCACTGTTGTGGCCTCTCCCATTGCAGAGCACAGGCTCCGGACGCGCAGGCTCAGCGGCCATGGCTCGCGGGCCCAGCCGTTCCACGGCATGTGGGATCTGCCCGGACCGGGGCAGGAACCCGTATCCCCTGCGTCGGCAGGCGGACTCTCAACCACTGCGCCACCAGGGAAGCCCTTGAGTCTTACATTTAAGTCTTTAATCCATTTCAAGTGAATTATTGCGAGTGGTATAAGACAGGGGTGCAGTTTTATTCTTTTGTATAGGAAGATACAGTTTTCCTATCATTAATTGAAGAGACTATTCTTTCCTCATTGAGTATTCCTGGCTCACTTGTCAAATGTCAGTTGATTGCATAGTGTGGGTTAATTTCTGGGCTCTCAACTTTATTCCGTTGGTCTGTGTGTCTGTTTTTATGCCAATACCATACTGTTTAGATTACTATAGCTTTCAAATAAAATTTGAAATCAGGAAGTGTGATGCCTCTAGCTTTGTTCCACTTTCTCATGATTGCTTTTGCTATTCAGGATCTTTTATGGTTCCATATGAATTTTAGGATTGTTTTTCTTATTTCTGTGAAAAATGCCATTGAAATTTTGTTAGGGGTTTCACTGAATCTATAGCTAGCTTTGGATAGTATGGACATTTTAACAATATTAATTATTCTGATGTATGAACATAGTATATCATTCCATTTATTTGTGTCTTCAGTTTTTTCATCAATGTGTTATGATTTTCAGTGTACAGATTTTTCACCTCCTTAGTTAAATTTATTCCTAAATAATTTATTATTTGTGATGCTATTATTGTATAAATGGGATTGTTTTCTTTATTTCTTTCTCATATAATTCATTGCTAGTGTATAGAAAAGCAATTGGTTTTTGTACATTAATTTTGTATTCTGCAATTTTACTGAATTCATTTACTAGTTCTTTTTTTTAACTTTTTTGGGAGGTTTTTAGGATTTTAGATATGTGGTATCGTATCATATAATTTTACTTTTCGTATCATACAATTTTACTTTTCCTTTCCAACTTGGATGCCTTTTACTTCTTTTTCTTGCCTAATTGCTCTGGCTGGGAGTTCTAGCATTATGTTAAATAGGAGTAGTGAGAGTGGCATCCTTGTCTTGTTCCTGATCGTAGTGGAAAAGCTTTCCCATTTCACTATTGAGTATGATGTTAGCTGTGGGTTTGTCATATGCAGCCTTTATTATGATGAGGTAGCTTACTTCTCTATTAGCTGTGCCTCTTTGAGTATTTTTTAGTGGTTGCTTTTGGGATTACAATATGTATCCTTGTTACAACCTACTTAGAGTTAATATTTGATCACTTTAGATTTTATTCACGTCTGACTTTTCCCATTTCATAAATGAATAAAAAAGTCACAACAATTTAATTCCATTTAAACATTCTACTACTGTCTTTAAGCTAATGTTTTTTATATCTTTTAATTCTTCATAAGTTATAAATTTATATATCCCATCAGAGTGTTATTTTTTACTTTAAACAATTTTTTAGGACATTAAGAAAAGAAAAATATATACTCTTTTATGTTTATCCATATATTTACCAATTCTAATACTCTTTATTCCCTTCCTGTAAATCTTAATTTTTATCTTGTATTATTTCCCTTCAACCTGAAGGACATTCTTTAGTATTTCTTTTTTTTTTTTTTTTTAAACAAAAAATGCCATTGGCTTCTTTAATTGGTTAAGAGCACAAAATGTAACAGGCAGAAAGTCTCTTATAAACAAATTAAAAATCTGTGGGTTTTTTCCCCCAATTCTCCCCAAGTCAGATATATACACACCCACAAAAATGGTGTGTGAAGGAAAACTGTCATACACAAGAAGTTGTATCCTGAATTAAGGGAAACAGCTGTTGAAATGGGAATTAACACAATAAAGTCAGCAATAGGTTAACCGTTTAAAAAATTGAGTCTTCAAATGCTGCATGGCACAAAGCTGTACTATATAAAGTACTGCTAGGTATGAAGGAGGAAGTCTGTATGGTTTTAGCAAAAATGCTTTTCCAGAAAAGCAAATCAAAACAATGCAATCAGCAGACTAAAGAGGCTACAGCTAGATAGCAGAGCTACAACTTCTCATATCTGAGCTAGAAAATTCTATTTACACAGAATGGACTAAAATTTCAAGACAAAACGGCCATGTTTTACATTTCTTACTTTATCCATATTAAGTTCTCTGTTTCTTTCTCCCTCACTCACCCCTCAATTCAGCATGATCCAGCCAAAAGATGGCTGCTTTTAGAAGTAGCTATTTTATTTTTCTTTCTGTGGCAAGACTGTCATGAAGCCTGGATATCTCAGGCTCATATGCATCCATGACCAGGGTCCCGCTGTGGTCAAAAAACTTAGCAATGGACTTGGTGAACTCGGCTTCCCGTTGCTGCTTTGTTCTTCCACTGATGAAGGTCAGCTTCAGAGTGTATTTGTCATCGAACCTTTTGAGACTGGACGACAGCTGCCAAATATCATCAGGACCCATCCCTGTGGGATCTTTCCCGTGGGCCACGAGAAGGATGCTCTTCTCCTTATATGAGGTATAAATGGTCAGGATCCCCATCATCACAAAATAGGATATAACGCACAAAGCCAAAACAGGTTTGGACTCTGGAAAGGGGTGCATATAATCCCAAATCAAAGCCACTATGGCGAAGAAACAGGAGATGGTGCAGAGGGTGAGGTGACCGTCAGTTAGACCAAAATTCTGCACATACTTGTACTTTTCCAGAAGTACCTTTTTGGCAGAATCATCCAAAGAATTTTTCACAGCGGATCCATCCCATTTGTCAGTTTTTACAGGCTTATCATCAATCTTCCACTTGTCCAGCAAGCCGCTGCGGCTACTGCCTGTCCCACAGCTGGAACCACTGCCAGCCCCACTACTGCCTCCGCCACCACCGGTTCTCCCTCCCTGAGCAGCCGCCGCCGCCACTGCCGTCTTGCTTGCTTCTGCCTAGCATTCCTTGTAGTACAGGTATGTTGGGGACTAATTGTCTCAGCTTTCATTTATCTGAAAATGTCCTTATTTAATCTTAATTTTAGATGAATATTATCCTGAATCTAGAACACGTTCTGTAGGATTTCAGTTTTTTAAAATCTATTAAGGTTCTAATTCCAAGGCCTGACCAGAGAGAGGGCAGGTGGGACACTTGCCATGGTCAGGCTTTAGGGCAAGAACTTTGAGGATCTAAGACTGCTGATTTCTAGGGAAGGTAAGGGTTGACATGGGCCCACATGGGCTGCCAAAAATGTGATGGATTAACAGGGTCCGTGAAGGCTGATGTTGGCTAACATGGGCTGACTTGGGTCACAACTTTTGAATTCTAATTGATTCTGGGAAGGATCTAAAGCCTCTGTCACTTTCACAGGGGAAAATTAAAGCATGGAAAGGCAGCAGCTGTCTCAGAATCACACAGTTGCAGAATGCCAGAACCCAGGCTCTAGAATCGTGTCTTCTTTCTCGAAGCCCAGGACTCCTTCCTTCCATCTCATCTGCCTCTCCATGGAGGCAAGGCGCCAGAGTGCTGACCCATCTGGACAGCACATTCCTGAGAGCTCATGCCTGTCCCTAGCAAGACCTGGAACAGCTTTCAGGACAAAGCTCGTTCCAAGTTCTGGAGGAAATTTTTCATGTTTCTGCATTATCTGGGTTAAGCTCCTGTGGGCAGTGACCTTTATAGCATTGTCAACCCTTGAAAAACAAGTGGCAAACGGAGCACTTTTACATACTAGATGCTGACGACCACCCACCACTGAGGCCATCCAGATAACAGGCATACAAGGTCTCGGACCACGAGGCTTTGGGCGCTTAATAATAACCACATTTTCTAATCTGTTGTCTTTCCTTGTTGGCTTTTAGCTTTTCTTTCCAACCTTTTCTAGGCCACAAGGCAATATAAGATCAGGAGTCTGACTGTAGGCAGTGCTGGGATTTCCTTGGTTTGAATTCTATCCCATGTGTTTCTTTCTTTCTTCATATATTGGTATGTATATTAAAGATGCTTATTTACAGTAATTTATTGATCCAAAACTTTAGAGAAACTCTCTAAACATTATCATAAAACAATATGTTCATCATAAAACAATATAGTGCACAGCAGCAATGCCCACACCCAGACGCACCACAGCGCTATCCATGGAGCCTTGGGGTCCTCTGGGGATCTGTGGACACTCTAATTTGGAGCTTGTTAGTTAAGGATTCCCCACCTCAACAACTGGGTAAGGCACTCGGGGAGCCATATTTGGGGTTGGACCTCCTGCTACAGGCGGAGGAAAGTGGATGCCCCTTTTATATTCATCTTTAACATTTGGAGTCCTTAACCTCTCCCCAAGGGAGCTCAGGGACCACCCCCAAGGCAGCTCATGTGGGTTTGCATTATTATGCCATCTCCATAGTCCCCTACCCTGGACATACTCAGGAACTAACAGTGCATCTAGCTTTATCTGCTGCCTCGTCAGGCCCTCCCTACCGGAGGAAATTCTTTCAGTGTGTGTGTGATGGTCACGGCCAGGGCAGCCCATCGGCTCGTCAGCATCAGCACCTTTCCCTTTGCTGTACTCCTTCCTTCCTTCTTTCCTTCCGTTTAGACTAACAGTACAACATAACTCAAAGAGATAAGAATAACATTGTGTTTTCAAATTAAAAAAATATTAAGAATAAGCTGTTCTCTTTCTCTTATTTTTTTAATTGTAAAAAGCATTACTTTTATTGGGAAAATGAAGTCTGATCCTTGTCTCAGCCAGCTGAGATGGGAATGGTAATTTGGCCAAGGTGTTTTTTTTTTTTTTTTTCCCCCAGCACAATGTAGAAAGTGATCAGTGATCTCATGTGAGGGCTTGACTCCAAATGCAATAGAACAGGATAAGAAGACAAGGCACAGGCAGAGGGCGGAGGTAGGGTGACAGCCATTGTAGAATTGATTAACATCAGAGCGGCTGGTGTCTGACCTCCCTCAGTCCCTGTGAAGCTTTGCCCAGGGCCTTGCAAGTTTCGCCAGGATCCAAGCATCGTTACAATGCTAGTAATAGTTAGCATTTGTTAAGGGCTTGCTATGGGCCGTGCACATTTTATAAGCCTTTATACTTAATTTTCTGCCAAGTGAAAGAGCCAGCCTAGGGAACTGCAGGCATCTGGACTTAGTGCTTTGTCTCCTGACCCACCTGTGTTTGCTGCCCTCACCGACCTCCTGGTCGGCCTCCCAGTCCCTCCTCTGCCTGGTCCTTCCTGGCATGAAGCCTCCTGGTTATCTCTAGCTGTGCTTGTCCATCTCAAACTCCCGTCCTCCAGCTCTCTGTCTGATTGCTGCTCTCTTGGGGCAATGCTACCTCAGACCAATCTGCCACAATGACCCCCAAGTCTGTTGTTCAGCTGTGGAACTTTCTGGCTCTATGGCTCTGCTGAGAGGCATCTCCTCCTACAGCTGGGTTTGGACACGGGCAACTTGAAAAGTAAGACAATAAGCGCTGTATAGAGATGCATACGAAAAGAAGTGGCTGAGACATAGACAAATAGTTTGTTTTAAAATGCTATGAAGATGGAGGCCCTGCTGAAAAGTCCACAGATATGCCCAAGACCAATTTTATGGTCTCTTGTTTACATCCCGAGTTAAGAGGTTTGCGTTACTAAATTGTAAGCGAAAAAGTCAGTGAGAGAGTTTAAATTGGGCAGAGGCGTGGGATGGCAGCAAATCAAGAGGTCACCCTTTTCCTTGCCTCCTCGCTCTGGTTAGCCCAACTGCAAAGTTAGTGCTAACTTCTGTCATCTTCTCAAATTCCACCTCTCTGTGGGCACTTGTATTTCTGGAACATTCGGCCCACATAATAAGGTTGCACTCTCTCCCCTGGTGTTAATTCTGGGTTGTTTGGGAACCTGGCTTCTCCGAAGGGGTCGATCTCCGGACTTTCTAGTAAAGGGTGAGCATAGATGTTTTTAAAACGGGGTGCTGTACCTTTAAATTCTGAAAGTGAACTTGGCTCAGGAAGGCCAGCAGTCAAGGTCCAGCCCCTAGAAGAGAGAATAGCTACAGATTCTCCATCCTCAGTCTCTGCAAAGGGACGGCTGTGCCAGCCGTGCTCGGGCAGGCTCCTGGCAGCATGGCAGAGAAGCTCTGGGCGCTCCTGCTGGCCCTTGTTCTCAGCCTGGCACAGCCAGCCCCGGCCCGCCGGAAGCTCCTGGTGTTTCTGCTGGATGGTTTTCGCTCTGACTACATCAGTGATGAGGTCCTGGAGTCCTTGCCTGGTTTCAGGGAGATTGTGAGCAGGGGGGTGAAAGCGGATTACTTGACCCCAGACTTTCCCAGTCTCTCGTACCCCAATTACTACAGCCTAATGACTGGTGAGTACCGTGTCCTCCTCCGGGCGGGGAGGGGAGGGCTGGAGTCCAACAGTAGCAGTTAGCTCCTGGCATTAGAGTCTCATGGAAATGCTCAGGTTTCCCTCATCCTTTGGGACACCAGAGATAGACAGGAAGTGTGTGTTCTTGGCTGAGATTTTTTTTTTTCATGGGTGTGTTGTTTTCCAAAAGTTATCCCCAGGACCTGTTTTGGATTCTCAGTGTGGAGAACAGAGAACTACATGAATAGATGATTGTTAAAGTGGTTATTTGTTTTACAAATAAAAAATTCTAGCCTACTCCGTATTTTCTAAGTTCAAATTTAAAAAGTCAGTAGGTCTTCATTTGTATCAAATTGCTTCTGTCCCTTTGCCCTGCAGTCATCTGTCATCCTGGAGCTGTTTTGGCTTGTTTGTCAATGTGCTAGATTATGAAAGTTACATGTGGGATTCCTGGATGACTCGGAGGGAGTTTTCAGGTCATATCCTGAAGTATTACTTAGCAGTGCTACTTGCTCCTTCTTTTGCCTTTTGGGGCCAGGTAAAATGACACGGAGAAGAAAAAATTGATGTGTAGTTCAGATTCCCATTTTTAACTTCTAGCATCTGCTAACAGAACAAAACCCAACCCCCCAGCTAACCCAGACTGTGCCTGGGTTTGGAAAAGCTGACTTTTGCCTGAAAATGACCTCCATCTGGGATTGCCGGCGCGCCAAATGTGGCTGCACGAATTTGATCCTCTATCTGTGCTCACACAGTGAGATTCCCAGCTTCCGGTTTGTTTATCAGCTAACCTTTGTAAGGGCCAGCGAGAGGCGCTCAGAAAGAATTTAGCAAGCTGTCCAGGGAGGCTGGTAAGAATGCACTGTTGTTGATGCTTATGTAGGACTTAGCTGTGTGCTCTGAGCACAGGGAAAACTCTATAAATTCTGTTAACAGGAAGGGGATGAGAACTCTTGTGTCTCATTATGGATCTTCACAGGACAGCAAAGCCCAAGGATCCTGGAAAGACAGATTGCTATCTCTGACTTCATACGTGGATACTGTATGCATGTGTACATAAAAATGCCATAAAATTAACGGGGAAAGAGATTTTGGAGAATTAGAAACAAAGGCATGGAGAGCAAAAAAAAAAGTCCAGACGGCACACAGCAAGGAATTTATCTGCTCATTTTCAAAAATCTCCCCCAACAGACAAACAATCAGCGTCTCTCAGATAAAGAAGATGAACAAAAGTCTCCTCGTCCTCCCTTGGCACGGATCTGCCCTTGCAGGGAAGCCGTTTGCGGGCCGCACACAGAGGTTATTGTGTGTCACAGGCCGACTTCAGCACTGTCCGGGGAGTTTCACACCTGCAGCCACCCCGGCACCAGTTGTCTCTCAGAGCCCTGCTGCGAGGCTCAATTCACAAACTGCCACGTGCACTTTTCTCAGTCTCAGTGGAAGAGGAACAAAATCCGTTTTAGCAAGTCAGACTCCAGCGAGCAAAAAGGGACCATTACAGTCTCCACAGAGAAACGCAGCCAGTGACTCGGCCCTTTGTCTGTCAGATCCATGTTCCTGATATCAGCACAAGGACTAATTTGCACAAAGCCTTAGTCACGCAGACATTTTCTTGTCAGGCTGTGGGTATTTTCTCTGGTCGAGGCACAACAGAAGGTCCCTTCTCGTGGTGGGACAGTGCAGGTCCCATGAATGTTTGACAAAGATCTTACCTTTACTTTCAAACTGAGTCTAGCCCGAGAAAGCCGCAGGCTCTCCGTACGGCTTATGCCTTTAGAGTCTTTGATGGTAAAATGTATGATCTGACTTGAAAGCTTGCTTGGTGCTTAAGTTGGCTTTTTCACTTTTATAGAAGCAATATTGTATATAGGATGTGTCCAGCAAGACTCATGTTCATGTGCCAGTGTCTTTGGGTGTGACTTGTATCTACTGAGTGGACATAAAGGCTTGGAGTGGGATTGTGGGCTGGGGTGGCCTGGCCATCAGGATGCTGCCACCTCCACTGCCCTGGAACTGACTCAGCGTGAAATCTAGACTACTACCCCCAATATCTGTGCTTCTTTTTCCACCTGATGTTGAAAAATTCCTCTTTTTTTCATATAAGGAAGGATCTATCCATTGGGAATAGTAGTTAAACATATGGTTTGAGCATATGAACATTTTATGAACCAATGAAAGAATCATGCTAGATCCTTTCGGTACTAAAAGATATGCTGTCTTAAGGTTCCCCAGAATTTATAAGACAGACTGTGATCTCACTTCCTTACGTGAATTATTGCCCATAAGCCATAAAGCCCTTGGTGTTCTTCTCTTTTAATAATGAGGAATGATGGGTTATTGGAAAGAACTTGGCCTGGGAGCTGGGAGAACCTGGTTGGAGTCCTTGCAGGGTCGGGATGGGCAAGCCATCGCACTGCCCTGAACCTCAGTTTCCTCAGCTTCTGGGTCCTAATCCAGCCAGAATCTCAGGTGTTGCCAGAAGCAAACATGAAATTAGAAAAAGTTAGGACTGGCACCTCTTGGGAGGCCTACATATTAGAAATTAAGCAAATGACTGATCTTTAGAGAGGAGAATTTCATGGGAAGCCACGTGGGTGGTGATGGGAAATGAACAGTCACAGGATTTGTGAGGAACCTTGGAAATCATCTAGCCCAGTCATTGACATGAAGCCACTGTGACTGATTCTTTTTCCTTCAAAATGTGTTTGAATCAGGACAAATGTGAACACAATTCCAATAGTGATCAAGAAGATCCATCAAGGGAGTTCCCTGGTGGTCCAGTGGTTAGGACTCTACGCTTTCAC